CTCCGTCTCATACCTTGCTGCATATGATGATCTCATTGCCAACAAAATGGCTTGTCCGGCAAGCTATGACGATAGCTCATTGCAAAGACAGAGGATGTCTTCACAACTTGGGTGCCTTGTGACATAGTTCTTGGAGATAATAATATAGCAAGTCTGATCAGTGATCAGTGGGCTTTATTTTCCTACATAAAACATCCTCGCAGGCCATGAATACAGAAGTCAGTCTGCTTACTGGCTTTGATTTCTATTTGAATTTGGTGCCTGAAATGCAGAAACATAAATAACTTAATACAAACTACATGTACTCACACAAAACAATAAATGGAAACAAGTAGAGAAGTCAGAAGTTTTCCCCTCACAAGATATTCTCAGTTAGGAAAATCCAAATGTCACGTAAGGAATATTATGAGAATTTGCAGTTTGCAAGGGCACAGTAAAATAGTGGGTCAGGTAAAAAAAAAAAACCTACAAGAAATAAATTGAAAGATTAAGTATCCACAGAAACCCACACCTGTAGTCTTGCAACATACACAAATTGTCCCAAAAGCTCACATGACAAATTTACATTAAATTGCTAAATTTAACAATTTACAAAGTGACTAAGTCAAACCTTTAATCAAAGGTGTTTTTACAAGCCTCTCCCTGCAAGTCAATGACGTACGGTATCATTACGGCATTATATGGTAGTGCTGGGCTATCGGACTTCAAGAGGTAGACTGTGATTCCAGCAGTCAGAACTCAAAGTAACGAACATAACAAAATCTGGACTAAAAGACAATCTGTCCTTAAGGCATAGCTGTTGGTGCAGGAATGAGCTCGCACCCACATGTACATGTTCTTACAGAAGAACCACACCCTTAACAGCTCAATAAGCTCTAAGAATATCAATACATGTACAAAGAACAACTTGGTATGCGTATGCAAGGTACAGCACATGTAAGGAATATGGCTGCAGAAAGTTCAGAACAATGAAATACATGAAAAGTATTACCACATGTACCACACCCAAGGGAAGGCTAGTCACACTGGTATAGTCTGATAGTGCTAACATTGGAGGGCCTAGGCCTGGTTGAAGAAGATGATCGCAATGATAATTAATTGCCCTAGTAAAATTCAATCAATTTGATCTCCACTCCTAGTGCTTCCACCAAATTTGGAGGATTGTGCGGAGATGAAATACCATTCTCTTCTATACCTCAGTGCACTCTGCAAACTTCTTGAAATCCAAATTTTGATACAGCAAGTCCAAATTGTTAATGGACAACTAGTGACAAATGGTACATGATCTTGAAGCACGGTTGAGATTTGTCAAGGCGCCCTGAAATTGCTGAACTGTCTCGTCTTGTTCTTGAAGTTTGTGAACCAAAGAACCAAAATCCTTTTTTTGTGTGTGTGTAAATTTCTTCCTTAAGAGCATTTTTTTCTAACACCAAAAGACCATATTTCAGACACAGGAGCAAAAGGCAGGGGAGGCAAACAAACACTAAAATGTCTGGAAATGTTGCATCTTAACCGCACAACTTCATTTGGTATTTTAACGCAAGAGAAAAACTGGAACGTAAAGGGAATTGCGGAAGTCTTAAAATCCTTACTGCGTGTGTGCAGTAACAATGCTACATCTGCTAGGCCCAATTTCTCTTGTCACCAAATGGCAACCCCTGTGCTATCTAGTTGATAATTACCCTTGGCTTCCCTGCAGGTATAATGCACTCTTTCCTCATCAAGAAGAGGAGGAAAGCTACACTATGCACAAATATCAAAGGAATATGTTGC